TCCCTCGAACAACAAGTCAGTTTATTCAAGACCTTTAATTTAAGCCAATGTAGAAGTCTGAGCGCTAAATTGTTACGATTCTGACATTTCATTCGACATTTAAGGCATTTAAGGGCTCGATATACAAATGCAATTGGTTAACCCATTGATATTTTCCAATAGTGACGGTTTTTGAAATCGTTTCCCAATTTTAGACAAACTATAAATATTTTGTTTTATAGCGGCTTTCTCAAATGTTGTTAGTAGAGTGATAAGGTCCATTTTATGCTTTAATGGCATTATTATATTTGAAAATGAAAAAAATAAACCTATTTTAGCTTGTGACGTGTAGGAGAGTATTTTGTGATGAGTAAGGGTCCATTTCACCAGCGTGGCAAATGCAGCGGAATTAAAAACAAGTACTTTTGAAGCAAAAAACAAAAGTGACTTCAATTCTCATATAAAAATTTAAGATGATCGTTAATCTATTCGTGATCCATTGATCGCATTTAAACCAAATTAGAATGGGACCACCTGTGAGGAAACACCTTTCCTTTAAAGAAAAAATTATAGAAATCGGTTAACGTGGTCCAAAGTTATGCGGTAACATACATTAAAAAAAATAAATAAATAAAAATAGTCCGACGAATTGATAACCTTCCTCCTTTTAGTGAAAGGCAATATTTATACCGCTATTGGATGATATTTTGCTCGATCTCCGAGAAAGATTGCCGAAAGAGACATTCAACGTTTTTGATTTGAACTTATTACTTCCTTCTAAAATTGGGAAATATAATACGCTAGATGAAAAAATTATGCTTTCTATTGCGTAAAGTCGCTTGGAAAACGATACGAAATTTTCTTAGAAAAAAACGTTATCAATTTGGGAGGACAATATAAAGTGTGGTCAGAACGATGGACAATTAAGGTAAGCGAAAAGCAGCAGCAACAGTAGTTCTTGGTAAATGCGACGAATATACTTTTCCATTGATTGACAAACTTCTTCGCTTTCTGGCCACATTTCCAGCTAGTAAGGCTACTTCATAAAGAAGTTTTTTTAACCCATCCCCGGTTAAAAGCATGGTTGCGTAGTACCATGAATGAAGAAAAACTGATAGGTCTAGCGCTTTTACTCGTACACTTAGATATTGAAATTGACGATTGGATATTTAAATTTGGGAGCGGATTAGAGCCGCAGTTGTTGCCTGGTATCTAATAGGAAACGAAAAATAAATGTAATTTTCCATTCATAAGCATCCTTAAGAA